GGGGGGTCCGGGCAGGTGTTGGGAGTTGCCGGGCGGCAGGTGCCGGGCTCGTTTTTCACCAACAGTCACACACTTCGCGCTCTTCGACTTCCCAGAACTCCATTCCCAGGCCACATTCTGAATACCCGGATGCAACAGTCACACACTTCGTGCTCTTCGAGATCCCAGAACGCCATTCCCGGGCCACATTTAGAATAACCGGATGCAACAGTCACACACTTCGTGCTCTTCGAGATCCCAGAACGCCATTCCCGGGCCACATTCTGGAGGGCCGGATGCAACAGTCAACACTTCGTGCTCTTCGAGTTCCCAGAACTCCATTCCCGGGCCACATTTGGATGCCCGGAGCCAACTGTAGGCCACTTCCGTGGTCTTCGAGTTCCCAGAACTCCATTCCCGGGCCACATTTTGAATGCCCGGAGCCAACTGTAGGCCACTTCGTGCTCTTCGAGTTCCCAGAACTCCATTCCCGGGCCACATTTTGAATGCCCGTAGCCAACTGTAGGCAACTTCGTGCTCTTCGACTTCCCAGAACTCCCATTCCTGGGCCACATTTTCAGCAGGGGCAAGAGCACGACGAGGAGGAGGACGAGCAAGACCAGGAGGACGAGGACGAGCAGGAGCAGGACGAGGAGCAGGAGGAGCAGGAGAAGAAGGACGAGCAGGAGGAGGAGGAGGACGAGCAGGAGGAGGAGGACGACCAGGAGGAGGAGGACGACCAGGAAGAGGAGGAGGAGGAGGAGGGGGGAGGGGGAGGAGTACCAGGAGGAGGAGGAGGAGGAGGAGGAGGAGGAGGAGGAGGAGGAGGAGGAGGACGAGGACGAGGAGGAGGAGGAGGGGGGGGGAGAGTACCAGGAGGAGGAGAACGAGGACCACCAGGAGGAGGAGGAGGAGGAGGAGGAGGAGGAGGAGGAGGAGGAGGAGAGAACACCAGGAGGAGGAGGACGAGCAAGACGAGGAGGACGAGAACGAGGACGACCAGAAGAGGAGGAGGAGGAGGAGGAGGGAGGAGGAGGTGGAGGAGGAGGAGGAGGAGGGAGGGGTGGGGGAGGACTACCAGGAGGAGGAGGAGGAGGAGGAGGAGGAGGAAGAGGAGGAGGAGGACGAGGAGGAGGAGGAGGAGGACGAGGAGGAGGAGGGGGGGGGAGAGCACCAGGAGGAGGAGAACGAGGACCACCAGGAGGAGGAGGAGGAGGAGGAGGAGGAGGAGGAGGAGGAGGAGGAGAGAGCACCAGGAGGAGGAGGACGAGCAAGACGAGGAGGACGAGAACGAGGACGAGCAGGAGGAGAGGAGGAGGAGGAGGAGGAGGAGGAGGAGGAGGAGCAGGAGAAAGAGGAGGAGGAGGAGGAGGCAGGCTGAGGCTGAGGCTGTGACTGCGACTGCCGTTGCCGCTGCGACTGTCATCGCGACTGCGACTACGACTGCGAGAACAGCAGAATTCGACAACTGGATTTTCATCTGAATCTTAAGGGGAATGCTTTCAGATATGCTTCTACACATCGCTGTTAGGTTGCTTTGCCGGGATAATTTTGTTTGTTCTGGGGCGATTCTGGAAGCTGCTTGGGCCGTCGTTGGATTTGTGAACGTCGAAAAAGACGAGAACGTTAAAATATAGCAGAAACCGTCGGACAATCAATGAATTCGGCCTCTGGAGGCGCAGTTGTGGGCGCTCTTGGGGCCCTTTTGGGCCGTTGTTGGAGCTTTGGGGGCCGTCTTGGGGGCCTCATGGGCCCCCGTTGGGAATATCTTGGGCCGTCTTGGGGCCATCTTGGGCCATCTTGACGCCCTCTTGGAGCCCCAAGAGGCCCAAGAGGTCGAATTTGCTGATTTGTCATATGTTTCTGTCGGTTTTCAAGGCCCCGGAAGGGGGGGGGCATCTTGTTCCGTTCATGTGGCGCGACTGCAGGGGGGGTTAGGGGGGATACATAATATTGTAACACAATACAGTATGTGGGAATTATGCAAACATTGGACACATTGGATCCACTGCATTACAGCATCCGCGGAAAACGCTGCCGCTCAGCACGTCACTTCCGGGCGTGGATTTATTGGCTTACGCCACACCGCTGCCCCCTTGGGGCTGCAGCCATCGTCCCCCGCGCGGCCCGTCTGGACAGCCTCCGAGGCCCTTCTAGACACGTTTAGGAGCCCTGTTAGGACCGTCCTGCCGTTCCCCTGGGCCGTTGCTATGGTTTCTGGGGCCTTCGTGGGGCGCCCGGAGGCCGTCGTGGAGCCTTTTGGCGAGTCTTTCGGGGTGCCGGAGGTCGATCTTGGAGGTTAGCTGGGCCGTTGTGGGCTTCGTGGAAGCCCAAGAAGCGAATGTGCTGAAAATGTATTTCGTCTGAAATGGGACGGTTTTTGTTTCTGGAGGCCTGCTTGGGGCGCCTCGTGGTCGCGTGTGCAAACGTCTTGGGCGCCCATGGGGCTGTCTGGAGGCAATCTTGGGCGGTTTGGACCGAATCGTCCCCAGCGTGGGCGGTCCGGACAGCCTTTGGGAGCCCTCTTGGCCCGTTTGGGAGCCCTCTTGGGATCGTCCTGCGGTTTTCCTGGGCTGTTGCTACGGTTTCTGGAGACTTCGTGGATCGCCCGGAAACCATCTTGGAGCCTTTTTGGAAGGTTAGGGTGACAGGGGTCGACCTTGGAGGTTTATTTGGCTGTTGTGGGCCTCGTGAAAGCCCAAGAAGCGAATGTGCTGAACACGTTCGTTTTACCAAAGGAATGGGACGGTTTTTGCTTTTGGAGGCCTTCTTGGAGCGCCTCGTGGTCGCGTTTTCAGACGTCTTGGACACCCATCGGGCCGTCTGGCGGCGATCTTGGGCGGTTTGGACCGAATCGTCCCCCGCGTGGGCCGTCCGGACAGCCTCTGGGGGCCCTCTTGCCCCGTTTAAGATCCCTCTTGGGACCGTCCTGCGGCTTTCCTGGGCCGTTGCTATGGTTTCTGGAGCCTTCGTGGATCGCCCGGACGCCGTCTTGGAGTCTTTTTGGGAGCCTCTTTGGCTGGCGAGGGTCGATCTTGGAGGGTTCTTGGGCCGCTGGGCGCCGCGTGGAAGCCGAATTGGCGAATGTGGTGAAAATGTAAGTCTCCCGAAGGAAATGGGACGATCTTTGCTTCTGGAGGGCCTCTTTGGGGCGCCTCGCAATCTTGTTTCAAACGTCTTAGGGACTTATGGAGCCGTGTGGAGGCAACCTTCGGCGTTTTGGGGCGATCTTTCGTCGATTCGCAACTCTATTGGACAGTTCCGGGAACCTTTTGGTTCGTTTTGGGGCCTCCTGAGGCTCCAAGTGTGCGGATGATGGATTTGCCCCCCCCCTTTTTCCCCCCTCCAAACCAGCCGGACCAGGCCCCCGGGGGAGGGGTTTGAGGAGGGGGAAGCACCTCACACGCCGTGATCCCAAGGGGTCGGCGGATTATGATGATGATGATGATGATGATGATGATGATGATGATGATGATGATGATGATGATGATGATGATGATGATGATGATGATGATGATGATGGTGATGGTGATGGTGATGGTGATGGTGATGGTGATGGTGATGGTGATGGTGATGGTGATGGTGATGGTGATGGTGATGGTGATGGTGATGGTGATGGTGATGGTGATGGTGATGGTGATGGTGATAATGATGATGAACACGAGGAAGAGGAGGAGGGGAGGGCGAGGAGGAGGAGGAGAAGGAGAAGGATATGATGATGATGAGAATGATGCTGATTTCGATGTTGATGATGGTGGTGATGATGATGATGTCGATGATGATGGTGATGATGATGTTGATGATGATGCCGATGATGACGATGATGGTGATGGTGATGGTGATAACGATGTTGAGGAGGAGGAGGAGGAGGATAGGATGATGATGCTGATGATGACGATGATAATTGTGATGAGGAGGAGTAGGAGGAAGAGGAGGAGGAGGAGGATAGGATGATGATGATGATGATGATGATGATGATGATGATGATGATGATGGTGGTGATGATGGTGCCGATGATGCTGGTGATGATGATGGCAATCATGATGATGGTGATGATGATGATGAATCTGATGGTGATGAGGATGATGATGATGATGTTGTTGATGATGATGATGTTGATGATGATGCTGATGATGTTGATGCTGATAATGATGGTGCTGATGATGAGGATGCGGATGAGGATGAGGTGATGGTGAGGATGAGGATGAGGATGCGGATGATGATGATGATGATGATGATGATGATGATGATGATGATGATGATGATGATGATGATGATGATGATGATGATGATGATGATGATGATGATGATGCTGATGCTGATGCTGATGCTGATGATGATGATGATGAGGAGGAGAAACATGAGGAAAAGAGGAGGAGGAACATGAAGAAGTGGAGGAGGAGAAGCTCTGGCCCTTCTTCAAAATTGGATCCGTCATGGCAGCCATATGGCCAGGAGACGGAGCACGACGCAGGATGCCAGGTGGCTGAGGCTGGCCTGTCCCTGCTGTCGCAATGACCTCGGCCTCGCTGCCGCTGTCCGCGTGCGTCGTAGAAAGTGTCACCGGCCTCCGAAGCGAACTGGCCGAGGCCGAAAGAGTTTGACTTGCTGGTGGCATCCACCGTATACAGATTTCTGGCGACTTCGGATGGCGTTCCTCTCGCACTTGCTGCAATTGGTGCGCCTTGTCCAGAGTTGCTGGACACCTGACATGACTGAGACTGAAACTGGAAATGCAATCCCGTGCGTTAGTCGGCTTGAGGAGGGAGTAGGAGGAGGAGGAGGGGGAGGAGGAGGAGGAGGAGGAGGAGGAGGAGCAGGAGGAGTAGGAGGAGGAGAAGGAAGAAGAGGAGGATAATGATGAGGAGAATAAGAATAAGAAACAATAATAATAATTATAAGAAGAAGAAGAAGCAGAAGAAGAAGAAGGGAGGGAGTGTGGGAGGGAGGGTGGGAGGGAGGGTGGGAGGGAGGGAGCAGGGACTCCCTTCTGACTGTAGTGGAGACCCTTGCCCGTCAAGGTCGATGGTCTTGCCCAGGGCGCTCGAGATCGACAGCTTCGGCATCTGCATGGCGCCGCCCTCGCCCGGCCGAGTAGCGAAGGGTGTGGGCTCGCAGAGGGCATCCGTGCACGGATGAGGGCCAGTCGAGACCATGGCGGCCCTCCTTGGCGTGCTCTGCTCCCCTGCGGCCTCCCGGAGGCCTCCCGTCGCCTCGGCTGGATCCGCCCCGAAAAAGGGGTGAGGATGGGCCCCGGGAGGGGTGCAGGGGCCGATGTTCGGGGGCCTTGAGACAGGGGTTGCAGGATCCTGCAGGGCCAGGGTCGCATTGACCCGGGTTTGGGTACAGGATCCTGCAGGATCTTGCAGGATCCTTCGCATTGACTTGGGTTTGGGTGCAGGATCTCGCAGGATTTTGCAGGATTCTGCAAGGCCTGACTGGCCCGGGTCTGGATTGACCCGGGTCAGAAGATCCCCGAGATGTTGAGCCGTTATTTCAGCCTGCCCTCCTCCGATTACGCTTCTTTTTGGCCTGCGAAAGAAGCCCAGTGGCAAGGGGTCAGGGGGAACGACAGACGAGGAGACGACACGACGAAGGGCCGGGGGGGGGGGGGGGGGGGGGCGGGAGGGGCGAGGCGGGAGGAGGGAGGGAGGAGGGGGCGCGCGCCCGCGCGCCCCCTCAGCGCCAGCCGTGCCCGACCAGGGCCCTCCTGGGCCCTGGCATGGTGAATGCTCCCCCCCCTTGGCGTCGGACATCTCCAGAAGGCTGGCACGAGGTTTGAGAACAACCTCAGCCTTGGGTGGGGTGCCTTTCTGTTCTGCGTGTTTGGGCCCTCCACCTTGGAATGCTCTTCGTCTGAGGTGTGTCCATGGGGGCCTTGCGCCTGTCTGGCGAAGGGGCTCGTGCTCTTGACCGACTTGAATCTCGCCGAGCTTTGACTGTCTACCGGCCTGGGGCCGAGGACGGTCCCAGGCGGGCATGGTGGGTCATCAGCAGTCAGAGACTTGAGAGCTTTGCGTGCCGCGCCGCCAGTTCTGTCTCACCGCGCTTCGGCGCGACGCGCTATCCACGCCCCAACTCCCAAGCGTCAGCGTGCCGAGCATCTTCAGCCTCCCGCCTCGTGGAGCGGAGCGGCACGCTGTCAGCTCGCTGGGCATGACGTGTCGCCGGGGACCGCCTCCGCGACTCGCCGAGCAGAAGTTCCCGACCGCGCCGCAGGTGCATGCTGCGGGCAGGGGGAGGCGCAGCCGTGATCGGCGGCGCGCACCAGGCGGCCTCCCACGGAGACCCACTGTGGACGCGGGGCGGGTCGGCTGTGGAGCTCTTTGTTGCGGGGCGGCGCGCAGCGGTGCCCGTCGCCGCGGGTGGACGCGGCTCGAAGCAAATTGGCGGCCCCAGTTCAGTCGCAGGGGGAGCGCGTGGACGTCGCTCCTCCCCCCCTCCTGCTGCTCCTCCGCCCCCTCGGCCTCCCCCGCCGCCTCCCTCCTTCCCCCCTCCCCCTCCCCCCCCCCATGTGAGCACACGTTCATCGTCATGCCACCGTTCGCGTCAGCAGCCCTCCCCCTCCCTCCTCCTCCTTCCCGGGGGTAGGGGGCAGCCTGACTGCATCGGAGCCAGGAGGAGCCGTTCTGTGGGCGCGGGCGCCGGTCGGTGGCGCGAGCAGGGGGTCAGAGGGCGGCGGCGCGGGGGGGGTGGTCTCGCGGAGGCCCGCCCGCCGTCACAGGTGCCCGCCCACGGCGGCGCGCAGAGGGCGGCAGCGCAAGGTGAGGCCTCTCGGAGGCTCGTTCCCCCGCTGGGGCGCTTCGCTGGAAGCCGCCGGATCCACTTCTGAGGAGCCTCCCCCCCCCTTGGCCTTGGTGGGGTGACGGGTATGAGAGCGTGTATTTTTTTGTTTTTCCTCTGGCGGGTAACGCTTGTTACCCGGGCCCAACCCCCCTCGTACGTCTTTGGGGGTGGAGGGCGGGCCCCCCTCCTCTCAGCAGGTATGGCAATGGATGCGCCGATGGCGCGGACGCACCCTGGCGGGCGCACGCCGCGGCCGCCGTTACCACAACCCGCCGCCCCCCCCGGGTAACAGCCGTTACCCAACACTATAAACAAACGCAGTCCCTTTCGGCACCTGCGACATACTTCAGGCTACCCGGGATACTCGTTCGCCTGTTGTGCAAGTGCCGGGTATATTTCTTCAGCCGTCATGTTGGCTCAAGCCTCAAGCCATGTAGGCTCAAGCTTGTTGGCCCAGGCCTTCTCGGTCTAAAGCGCTTTGGCACTGGCATGACATAGGTCTACGTTGTCGGCTCAGGTGTTCTCGGTTGGGCACGTTCTGCAGGACAGAATGGGTGAGGCCCGACAGGTCAGTGTCACAATACCAGCAGATGCCACACCCGGCGAGACAGAGCTGGCGATCAACATTGGCAGCGGCGAACTGACAGTCGTTATGCCCAAAGGTGCCAGGCCTGGCGACCGGATGGTCTTCACCCTGGACCAGGGCTCGAGCCAGTGGAAAGTTCGGGTGGTGCGAGCGGCACCATCCCAGCCTGCCGCTCGCGCAGACAAGGAGGATGCCTTCGAACGGCTGGTCCGCGCGGTTCGCCTTGCTGGCGCCGTTGTCTCTGGGAAGCTGGGGCGCGCCACGGTGCCGTCGTTGGGCATCCATGGCATTCTGGCACGAGAGAGCATCCATGCTGGCGAGGAGATTATCCGACTGCCCGCCGCAGTTTTCATATCCGAGCGGGCAGTGCAGGAGAAGGCGCCGAAGCTCTGCAGCCAGATAGGATCCTTGCTCGACAGGTTGCAGCGCCCAGGCCTCGTGGACGAAGCGAAGACGGCAGCCTTCTTATCTCGTCTCTTGTGTGACGCGTTTGCTCGTGTTGAAGATGACACCGATGTAAGGCTCGACGGAAGCGCCGCATCTGTTTGGCACAGCTGGGGCGACCTGCTGCTGGAGGAGGACTTCAGTAGCCACCCTTACTGGCGCGCTATCCACGACCACGACCGAGCGCGGGAGGTGCTGTCACCGTCACCCGAATGGGAGCATGCTGCTGCCATGGCCAAGGAGGTCCTCCAAACGTGCGGCGTTCTCTCGCAGGCGTTATCACGGGAGATGCTGGGATCACGATTCGGACCCGGCATCTACATGCAAGCGCGCCTATGCGTGCTTACGCGTGCTTTCCATGTCGGCAAGCAGTGGACGATGCTTCCTTTGGTAGACAGCTTCAACCATTCCGCTGATCCTGGCGTCTCTTGGCACTTCAGCGCAGAAGCAGATGTCATGGTGATGATTGCCGAACGGGCACATGCTCCGGGAGAGCACATGTGTATCTCATATGGGTTCAAGCCAAACCCGCTTCTCTTCCGCACATATGGTTTCACAGTGCCGCCCAGGAGTGAGCCATCTTGGGCCTTTGTCTTGCAGGGCGAGAAAGCATGCCGGGTCAGAGAAATCGTGCAGTCTTTCTTGCCAGACAGCCTTTGGGGTCTCTGCATCCATCTGGACACGGCCTCCATCAAGCCATCGCTTGTGGAGGCTTTGAATGCGGCACAGGGCCTCGGTCACGACGCCCGGGACTTTCTCCATGAGTTGTGCAGCCGGTGCCGCGAGGTCTACGAGAGCGACCCGTCCATGCAGGCTGCATTTGCTGCTCTCCGTCGCGCCCGGGAGGCGGAGCCCAGCTCGGCAGCGTGGGGGGACGGGGTCACAACAGAAGAGCTGGATGCACGCGGACCAGAACGTACCTGGAAAGAAGACGCCCTACGCGTTAAGATGAGCGAGTATTTGGCTCTCACTGCGCACATGGAGATCACCGCTTGCGCAGCTGGCCGCCTCGCGGAGGCGCAGTGCCTTGCAGGTGCCGCGGTGGCCAGGAGTATCCTCCAGGATGCGTTCTTCCAGCTGGGCGAGCACGGGAGGTTTATTCTGCACACCTCGGAGGCGTGAGGGTCTTTTGCATTTTGTGTGTTCCCGCCCAGTGGGTCAGGCATGCGGAAAGCAGCTTTCATTTGCGGGACCTACCGACCTGGAGCCTCTCAACAAAGAGCCAACATTTTGATGGAGACCTCAGCGGCCCGTCGCCTTCCGAGACGCCTCCTCTGGAAGGTGCCAGTCCTTTCTGAGAAGCCCCCCCTGCCTTCGTGGGGCGTTCGCCTTCGGCGCGCTTCGCCCTCGGCGGAAGCCAGCAGAACCAAGAATGGCGGCGGTTCCGTCGGGGGAGGCCAGCGGAAGGTGGACGGAAGGCGGCGGAAGCCAAGCGAGACGCCAACACGTTTGGAGCCAGGGGTTCGGAGTCGGTCCCTTAGAACGCCGCTTCCTCGCGCCACCCCTCGGTTCGACCATGCGCACGCGTGGCCCCTCTCCAGGGTGGCCACTGGGTCCCAGAACTGGCACTGGCCCGCGCGCCTGGATGTGGCGCGCTCGCGGCCCCCTGAAGCCGCGGGCCGAAGGTCACTCTTGCCCGGGGCCTTCCTCTGCGTTCGGCCGACCTCTGCGCGCAGGCACCCGATGGGGAGCCCGCAGCGGCGCAGAGATCTGACCGCGCCCCGCGTGTCCGGCGTCCGACTCCCGGGGGGCGGCGCAGGAGCGCGTGCGGCGGCGCGGAGATCACCGCGCTTCGCGCGCCGCGGCTGGGGCCGCAGGCCTTCCCTTTTGGCGAGCGGCGGCGCGAGGGCGCGACGGGCACCGCGCGTGGCGCAGCGTACGGCGCAGTGCACGACGTCGGGGTGGCCTGGGGAGAACCGGCTCCCCTGCCAGCGTGTGCACGTGGGACCTTGGGGAGCCTTGGGCCGAGGGTCCTGAAGGGGGAGAAGGGGAGATACACAGGGAGGAGAGGAGAGAAGCGGAGAGGAGTTGCATGGGAGAGCGGAAGGGGGAAGGGGAGACGAGCGTGGAGGTAAGTGGGGAGGGAGTGGCGCGGGAGGGATCGGGCGACGTTGGTGGACTCATCTCGCCGATCTTAGCCAGGCCCATCCTGGATCCAGGATCGGCGTCTGGGCCCTCCTGGCCTGGCCAGGAAGGCGTAGACACCGATCCGCAGGCCCAGGGTGCTCTCGGCATGGATCGGTGGGTTGGGTCCAGGGACGTCCCCCGAGTGGGGTTTCGGCCGTCTCACCTGCCCACCGATTTTACTCTTCCCCTCCCCCCCCTCTCTCTCGTTTGGCTCAGGTCGCGTGCGCGATCGTCCCTTCGGGACGCGTTCACACCGTGCTGCTGAGGAGCGACCGCATTGCCGCGGCCTGCGGCTGTAATCTCTTCGGACAGTGCAACGTCCCGGCGCTAGGTGGGGGCCCAATTTTCACGCAGGTCGCTGCGGGTGACGCTCACACCGTGCCGCTGCGGAGCGACGGGACCACCGCGGCCTCCCGCTGGATTGGCGACGGTGGCGGTCGGTCCTTTCCGGTATGAAGCGTGTTCCTCGCTTGCAACTGCGCTGCCGACGTTGGTTCTGCAGGCGTCATCCGATGGGGCCTCGGTGCAATTCCTGGCTCTGGACGGAGAGGACGTTCGACCGAGTCCCGGCGGCATCCGCCGATCACATAGATGATGTGCGCGCCCGACTGCTGGCCGGCTGCCTCGTGCGCATGCTGGGCTCCAGGTTCTCCACGGCCGCGCCGTCCTGCCAGGGAGCGGGCTGCTGAGCAGGGCCCCCGCTAGAGAAGAAGCTGCGCAGCTGCGCTCGGGCTCATGCGCGATGGGGGCTCGCCTGCCTTCGTGGATGGACCAGACGATGCTTCGCGAGAGCTGGTCCACGAGGAGTGCGGTCGGGAACTTTGGAAAGCGTTTCGCTCCACGGTTCTGGCCCACCGCGTTTCGGCGCGACACGTTATCCACTCCCCAGTCCCCAGGCATCGACGCCCCGAGCCTGTCCGAGCCTCCCGCGCCGCGGAGCGCAGCGACACGCTATCCGCTTGTGAGGCATGACGTGTCGCCAGGGCCGCCGCCGCGACACGCTAAGTCGGCTCTGTCATCCCTGGAAGCCCTTAACCATCAATGTTCTCTGAGATGTTTTAACATTGCTTCTTGGCTTCCTGGTGCGCGGGGTCGCTGGACGGTCGGGCGCTCCACAAATCCACGTGCCGCCCGTGGCGAAGATCGTGGGGGAAAGTTGCGCTTCCGCTTGGGCGGTGTAGTCCGCATTCCAGTAGCCATTTTGTCTCAAGCCCATGGCCCAAGGCCTTCGCTCTCAAGGCCCTATCACTCCCACCACCACGCCACTTTTCCCATGCCCCTTCACGTATCTTCCGATGGCCGGCACGGGCTCGCGAGCGCCAGGGACACCAGTTCGGGGAATCCTTGAGCGCGGCGGCGCGGCGCTCGCCACCGCTTGTTCCGCCCGCTCCACGAGATGGATGGGCTGGGTGGTCTCACCTCTGCACTTCGGCCGGAGGTACATCAGATATTTTCGCCTGCAGCCCCAAATACGCCCGCAGATCAGAGTTTCAAATATTGATCTTGAGGGATGGGGTCCTCAGTCGAAGTATTTGAAGGGATCCCAGGGTGGATTTATACTGCTTGAGGCACCTCGCCCTTAGGACCCCATCTCTCGGGACCCCATCTTTGAGCCACCGAGCAGAAACTCATGCAGTGCCACGTCCCCCACAGCATCAACAGCCGCCAACTCTGCAGGAGATCGCCGCTATCATCCGCCAGGAGGTTGAGCCGATCAATGCCACCATTGAAAGTCTCGACCGGCGCCTGAAGCAGATGAGCGACAAGTTCGACAGCAGGTGTGGGAGGTCGAGAGCCACATGGAGGACATCGGCATCCGCCTGACGAGCCTCTTCCGCCTACCGTCTCCGCGGCCGCCCTCCGCTTTTCTACCCGCACTTGCACGCCGTAGACGGGCGCGCCCCGTCTGCCTACAGGCGAGTGCGTTCGCCAGCGCGACGCACGTTGGTGTGTTTCGTTCTATCCTCTGACAACAAGCCCGAGGCGAATCTTGCATCCATGTTCGCTGCCTGGGAAGCCGGTATCCCTGGACCTCTGACGGCGGTGGATTTGGACACATTAGGCCCCCCTGGAATCCACCTGCATCGATATCCACCGCCCCATGGGGTCTCAGGACATCGGTTCCCCAGGTGGTGGGCGTGCGATGGATTTGTGGAAATCTCCACCCTCCATAAAGGCATTACCTGGGAGGGGGGAGTTTGGTCGTGTCATGATTCGTTTCGGAGCCCGTCCAGGAATCAGCTCGGCTACGCGTTGCCATTCCTGGACAGTGCAGGTGCGAAACCTGACATTGCCATGGGGGAGGGAGGGGGGGCGGGGCGACCTCCGTAACGAGCTCGCGACAGAGCCCGAAAGTAACGATTGCAGGTTGTTTCCGAAGGAGTTTTGTGCGCAAGGGCAGCAGCTTGCCGTCCACCGGGCGTTCCTCGCTCCCCGTCTCCGCGTGGGCAACAACTTGTGTTCCAATGGGTGTTGATCTCCCCTTCGTTCCTCGTCCTCCCCCGTCCTCCGTCGCGAAGGACACATCCTCCCAGAAACGTAAGCAAGATCCGATTCCGAACGGGCGGTCGTTTCCAGATCCTCGGCTGCTATTCATATACCCCTCTCCGTTTTCATGGGGTCGCACCTGATTCAATTCAATTGATCAGTTCGCTTTTCCGTCTCCTCCACCCCCTCCTCTTCCACCTCCCGTTCCCTCCTTTTCCGCGCTGCTCGGATATTAGGTGCGAAGCCTGTTGCGTGCCTCGTTCCCTCCTCCTCCTCCTCCTCGTCCTCGTCCTCGTCCCCCTCCTCGTCCTCCTCCTCCTCCTCCTCCTCCTCCTCCTCCTCTTCTTCATCCTCCTCGTCTCTCTCCTCTCCTCCGCCCCCTCCTCCCCCTCATCGTGCTTCTTCTCTCTCCCTCCGCACCCCCGCAGGGCAATAGGCCCGGCTCGTCTGGGTGGTTCACGTGGAACGACGGCAGCATCGATTCGCCTGCCATCAGCATGACGAGGCTGGGGGGAGCGAAAGAGGAGGGGCAACGTCGGGGGGGAATAGGCCCGGGGGGGGGGGAGACATCGACACCCAATCGCCTACTCCTCGCTGATAGGGGCTCCATTCCTCCGCCCCGCCTGGGAGGCCCGCTCGACGTTGGGGTGGCGGAGGCCCCCGGCTATGGTGCATTCGGCTGCAGGCATCCTTCGGGTTCTGAGCCCCAGCCGTCGCGATCGGAAGTCTCACCTGCAGGGTTGGTTCGCATGCGGCTGCCTACGAAGAGGGGTGGCGTCGGGCGCACAGGTCCCCCCGTGGACACCGCGAGGCCTCTCGAGGCCTGCGTCGGTGAGGTGGCCAGGGAAGAGGATGAGGAGGAGGTCCAGTGCAAGCCCAAGGCTTATCAACAATAGTTGCACTAAACCCTCCGTCCCAGCTCCCTGTTCACAGGCCGCTACAAGCATTCATTCTCACTGAAAGAAATGCTTCGTTGGAAAGCAACCGTTTGAAAGTCCCGAGCTGTACGTCAATTCCGCGAACTACCATTATTGTTTCGTCTTGGCGATCCTGAATCGTGCCAGAACACCATCCCTGAGATTTCAACATCACGAGTCAACGTAACTGTTGCGCCCTGACACACCGACCGCGTGCAAAAACACCAGGTATGGAGCGTTAAGCATGAGAATATTTGAAACTGCTGTGAACTCTTGAAGGAATGTGCGCGGCGCTAACGCGAGAGCCACGTTTTGAAGAAGAACTGCCCTCCATCCGCGAAGTTCTTGCAATTGTTTGAGACGGGTGCGCGCGGAGCTAAGGCGAGAGCCACATTCTGAGAGCAACCCGTCGCCCATCCGTGAATATCATGAATGTTTTTAGGACCGACGTGCGCGGCGCTAAGGCGATTGCGACATTTTGAAAACGATCCGCCCTCCATCCGTGAAGCTCTTGCAAATTCTGAGCTTCAGAACCATACATGGTGTGGAACTCTCAGACGAAACGCTGGCCTCTAGGTGGCCTCGAGGTGCGACAGGGAGGAGTTTTTACAAGGAGCAGGAATGGAGGAGGAGGAGGAGGAGGAGGAGGAGGAGGAAGAGGAGGAAGAGGAGGAGGAGGAGGACGTTGAAGAGGAGGCGCACCACCAACACGTCTGAGCGCGCCGACAATGGAAAATAAACAGGCTAAGTCAGTCGGATGAGAAGAGATCGCGCAACTCTGCGAGAAACAAGCGCCAAGCGAACCGCACGAGGAGACCCATGCGATCAGCGAGGCACACCGTAAGGCAGCGAGCGCCACCGAACGGCTAGTGCAAGCGTGGACCAGGGCACGGCAGGATTCGATGCATGAGGATGCACGGGCATGAGGAGCTACAATCAGTGACGTCAGATCGTAGCTCATGCAGCAAAAAGGTGCTATGGTGAAATCGCCGTCAGAGCAAGTCTTGCGGAGGACAGGCTGAGGGTAGGGGCCAAGTCGAGGTCAGAGCCGTCGTCGTCCGACTCTGGGAAATGCAACCTGCATCGCGCTCCTCGCTCTCACAGTGCGCACTCGGTGTCACCGTGACAAAGGAGCTCCCAGGATTCGACAGCAAAATCGGGAGAGTCGCTGGCGGCACGCTTGCGCACGATGCCGCCACCAGCGGTTCGAACGAATGCGACGTCGGGGGACGAGGGGGGAGGAAGAGGCGAGGTCACGGCAAGGCGGCGTGCGCGATCCTTCCCCGGCCCTGTCCGCCCCCCGCTGCCACCACCCCCGCCGAGGCCGGGGGTCGGCGGACACGCCCCGCTCCCCCTCCCACGCATCCGAGCCTGGGAGCGCAGCCTCCAGCAGGCAGGAGGAGGAGGAGGAGGAGGAGGAGGAGGAGGAGGAGGAGGAGGAGGAGGAGGTGGAGGAGGAGGAGGAGGAGGAGGAGGAGGAGGAGGAGGAGGAGGAGGAGGAGGAGGAGGTGGAGGAGGAGGAGGAGGAGGCCGCAATGGGCGCGAAGGCGCGGTGGAGGCGCAGGCGTGCGCCAGAGACGGCGGCCCGAGAGCGGGCGCCCGGCGCGCGGGCGCCCGGGGCCTTCCTCGGGCTCGAGGGCCCTGGGGGCACCGTCGGAGGAGGAGGCCGAGGAGGAGAGCCTGCAGGCGGCCAGGGCGGCCGTCGCTAGAGCCGCGTCGCAGCTCAGCATGATCGCCAGGATGGCCGCGTCACGGCGTCGCGCGCCACTACGACCGGCCCGACGTCCCAGACCACGGGGGTGCCAACCTCCGTGTCCGCTCCAGCGGCGGTGCGACGATCCAACTCGTCGGCTCCAGCACCGGCGTCAGCGTCAGGCCAGCCACAACTGGGGGAGCTGTGATCCTTACCCCCCTGGGGGACCCATCAATTTCGACACCCCTCTCGAGAGATCGTCGATGCGATGGGTTCCCCCAGGGGGGTAAGGACCACAGCTCCCCCAGACATGGCTGGTCGGAGCGTCTCTGCGGACGGCGCCAGGCTGCCCCACGGCAGCTCCAGGAAGGAGCACGACACCCGCAGCGGCACGAGGAGCAGCAGCAGCTCCGACACTGTACCGCCAGGCGTAATTACGCGAAGTCGTCGGAGTCGGTGGTGTTAACCTCCTCGGAGTCGCCGGAAGTGTCCATGCCGGGGTCCGACGCCACAGAGCTCGCGCCAGAACGAGAAGGTGAAGGTCCTCCATCGGCAGCGCCGTGCGGAGGCGGTCCCATGGCATCTCCAGGTTGTAGCAATTCGGCTGCAGCGGCTCCAGAGCAATCGTGAAGATCGGCACGAGGATCGACACGATCGGCACAGGCGCGTACGTCCGCACCTCCACGAAGGGCGGCGGCAACACGTGCGCCATCTTCAAGAGGAGGAGGAGGAGGAGGAGGAGGAGGAGGAGGAGGAGGAGGAGGAAGAAGGTGCGGATACTGCGGAGAAGACGTCCACAGCTTCGTAAATACAATTGAGCCTGAAATGGCCCGCGGGGCGGCGGCATGAGCCATGGCCATCCCTACCCGAGGAGTCCCCTCGATGAAAAACACGGCCGCAGACTGGCGCAGGCTCCCTCGGGCCTGCGATGAGGAGAATGAGGAGGAGGAGGAGGAGGAGGAGGAGGAGGAGGAGGAGGGGGAGGGAAAAGACGAGGAGGGTTGAGGAGAGAATGATGACCGACTACTCTGGCCAGGCACTAGGCAGCGGTTGCTCCCGGGAGGCCGGGGCCGCGCGTTGGGGGCTTGCGTCGGAACTAAGTGTTTAACACGTAGGAGAAAGAGGAGGAGCAGGAGGAAGAAGGGGAGGAGGAGAAGGAGCAGGAGGAGGAGGAGGAGGAGGAGGAAGCGGAAAGGGAGGAGGAGGATCAGGGTAACCCCAAGATATGTCAACGAAGTTGCAACGCACTTTTGCGTGCCAAGTCCCCCGTCAGTCCTTACAAGCGCTCTCTTTCACTGCGCGAAGCTCGCCCCTGGCGAGACGATCGTCCCCTTGGGCGCATTTCGGTAGGGAGCTCCGTTTTGAAAGACAGTGTCCCCTATCCGTCCAGCCACTGGGAAGGCAATGAACTGGTGTCATAAAGTCCCGGGGGGTACACAGTAACATCCCCACTTTGGAACAGAACACAATTCCAAACTACCTGGTTGAGAGATCAAACGAACTTTCAAACCCACATCCATGTTTATCTGGCGCGACTCCGATTACGGATCTTGTTTACCAGAGCAATGGAACACAGTTCTGAGCAATGCAATGCAAATCATTGTTTGGCATTGTTTGGCATTTTCAGTTATTGTTTGAAATTCCTGGGCGTGTCCTGACCTTGCTTGGAATTGTTGCTTGGCATATTGTTTGGAGTCCTTGCTCTGCTTTGCTTTGCTTGGAATTGCATTGCTTGTCGTTGCTTGCTGTTGTTTGGTGTTGTTTGGCATTGCAGGGCAGTGCTGGGAATGGCTTGACATTGCTTATGGTGTTGCTTGGTATTGTCGTGATGTTGCTTGGCACTTCTGGGCATTATCTGCATTGCTTTGCAGCGCCTCTGCATTGCTTGGCGTTGCTGGACATTGGCAGTGTATCGCTCGGCATTGCTGACCATTGCTTGGTATCGATTGGAATCATTGCTGGGCAGAGTGGCCTGGCGTGTCATTGATTACTCGTGCTTGCCGTCGCTTGGCATTGCTTGGGTAACCCCGAGGAACTCTAGCAAGGAACCCCAATAAACCCAAGCGAGGAACCCAGGCGAGGGGCCCGAACAGCCCCCAGGAGCCCAAGCAAGGAACCAACATCAAGGAACTTGAGGAACCCCAGGACCCCCCCCCCCTCTTCCATTGTTTAGTGAGAACTTTCTAGGCAAAGCCTCATCGGGGGGAAAGCCGCCCCCATTGCGTAGATGTTGCGCAGCATCATGTACTTGGACATCCGCGTTAAGAACATGTTTGGCGAGAGCCACATTTTGACAAGAAACCGCGTTGCATCCGTCCAATCGGTGGATTCATGTAAGATGAGCGTGCGTTCTGCCTCGGCGATCCGTTATCCGTCCGGAGATGACATGCTGGGATGTCAAGACGAGGGTGCGCGGCGCCAAGGCGAGTTCCGTGTTGAGAACCATTCGCCCTCCATCCGCGTCGTTGTCGGACAGTTGTTGGGCGAGATTGCTCGGCGCCACGGCGAGAGCTCCATCTTCAAAAGGACACCGCCTTCCACGCATGTAGCAGCTGGATGTTTCGACATACGTGATTCTCAAGCGTGGGGAAGTCTCAGGCGAAACGCCAGGCACGCCCTAACGATGCGTCTGATGGTGCGACAGGGAGGAGGCTTGTTTTCTTGAGTTCGAAGATGAAGATGGAAGAGGAGTAAGAGGAGAGCGAGAGGGGGATGAGGGAGGGGAAATGGAGGGGGCGGAGAAAGAACCGGATCAGGAGCAGCAGCAGCGCAGGAGGAGGCGGAGGAGGAGGAGGAGGAGGCGGTGAAATGGTTGAGCGGGCAGGGGAGAAGGGGAGGAGGAGGAAGAAGGCTGGCCGGCCACTACGGGCTGTGAGTGGGCCTGCAGGGAAAACAACCGGAAATCAGCCGCGAAGAGGACGGGCATCGGCATGACCTCGTTCGGAAGAGGAGGAGAATTGTGAAGATACATATGCATGTGGTAACAGAAGAGGGAGTGGTAGGAGGAGGAAAAGGAGGAGGAGGAGAGGGAGGAGGAGGAGGAGGAAGAGGAGGAGGAGGAACGATGGGAGAAGGAGGAGATAAAGAGGAGAGGTGAAAGAGGAAAAAGCGGAGGAGGAGGATGAGGAGGAAATGGGGCGGGGCGGTAAGGGAGTGGAGGGATACAAAGGAGGAGGAGGACGACGAAGAGGAGGAGAAGGGGTAGGAGGAGGAGGAGGAGTGAAAGCTGAACTCAAGCAACTTCGAGGAAGGGGTGATTTTGTCCAGGCTGATTTGGTCAGTATGCATGTGGCTGGGGGCCTGTGGACTCAGGACAAGATTTTCCAGGAGAGGTTTTCCCTGCACAGGGATTGCAGCTGGTGCCGAAGCGCGCCAGGGACGATCTCTCACAGGCTACATGTATGCAACGGGCTCGAGAGCCGCAGGCGCGAGCAGGGTTTCGACGAGCTGATCAGCGCAGGTCGAGACAACCCCAACAAGGTTCTCACCACCTTCGGCGTGGTGGACAGCCACCGGGACGAGATGCCTCTTCCGCTCCAGGCCAGTGGGTGTCAAATGAGGTGGTATCCCCCCAGGGGAAAGCTGACCCAGCTCATCTTCATTGATGGTTCGGGGCTACATCCAGATATCGATTGGCTCACTAGGGCAGGATGGGCTGCAGCTTCGATTCGCCCAGGGACGGAAGAGGTCACAGCAGCAGCTTATGGTCCTGTTCCAGGTATTGAGCAGTCTTCAGGTCGCGCGGAGCACTACGCCCTGCTCCAGACGCTTCACCTTTTGAACGAGACGCAAGGCAACATCGTCACCGACCATAAGAATCTGCTCATAGGCCTCGAGAAGGGGCCATCGGTGATGCGTGATTATGCTCAGACGTATAGGGAAGCCTGGAGGCAGATATTCTGGAACATGGAGGACATCGGAAAGGGCCACGTAGAGGTCCATCGAATGCCCTTTCACACGTTTAGGAGTTAGTACTTTGATAACGATGTTCCTGTACATTGGTGTCTGGGGAACCGAGTAGCTCATACAAATACGCAACGCTAGGAGCTATGGGTTACCCTTTCTGTGGCCCATGTCGAGCAGCGCGTGACAGCAGCAGAGAACATAAGCAGGCAATTCGTCAGGCTCTTAGGGAGAGCGCTCAGTGATTTGAGCATTCCACATGCAGTGCCCTTCCAAAAGGCCCAAGCTAAAACACCCAAGCCAGTCATCCGAGGCCCACCTGAACCAGTGTTTCAACTTAGAACAGACCCAGATGACAAAGAGCATTTCCTGCACATCACGAGCGCTGTATGGGGTTGTAGGCAATGTGGGAAAGCGCTAAGAAGCACAGTGTTGTCGTTCAAGCACGTTGCCCAGGTACCCCGAGGATGCTAAGGAAGGTGCATGAGACTCACAGGATGTGGCGCCTGGGATCAGCTGACATCTTTTACTGCGCTGGGTGTGGCCGCCATGTGAGGCGACGGGTCGAGGACTCGACCGCGCGATGCGCCCCCCCCCCCCCCCCCCCGCGAAGCAGGAACGAGTGTACTCAAGCTGCTCCGCGGGAGGGTGGACCCGACCAGCCACAGGGAGGTCGGTGCCCCATTCCCCGTGCACTGAACTCCCGTGCTACAGGCCATCTTCCGCTGATGGACAGACTTATCTGAGGCTCCAGAGGAGGAGGAGGAGGAGGAGGAGGAGGAGGAGGAGGAGGAGGAGGACGAGGAGGATAACGAGGAGGACGAGGACGAGGACGAGGACGAGGACGAGGACGAGGACGAGGACGAGGAAGACGAGGAGGAGCGTGGGCCCAAAAGGAGGACGAAGCAGGGAAAAGGGGGGATGCGGGAGCAGGAAAGGAGGGAGGCAGGGGAAGGGGAGTCGTTTGGATGAGGGGGACGGAGAAGACAGGCCCCGCGGCGCGGGCGTTCCCAGCGGGCCCCGGCGCAGCCCCCACTAACAGGGCTGGCCAGGGCCGCGCGATCCCAGGGCAGTGCGGGCCGCACTGCATGCGCCGCGCCCTGGGGGCCAGGGGCCCCGCGCGCCAGCAGGCGGGCCCCCGCTCCCCTGCGCCCCTCAGCGCTCTCCGAGCAGGCGGGAGGCGCCGTCGCGCCATGGAGACAGCGTGCGAAGCTCGCCTCCTGGCTCCTGCACCACGCCGCGCCCTCGGCACAGGCGCCAGGTGCCACCGTTGAGGCCGCCGCCCGTGGCGGGCGCAGCGCATGCGCCTGCGAGGGCGGCGCTCGCGGCGTCGCAAGCCCGAGGGAGCCTGCGCGGGCCCGCCCTCCGAAGGGACCCTGGAGGGTAGGTGGAGCGAAGGTAAGGGGCCGGAAAATGATGGTAAGGGAGGGAGGGAAGGAGGGAGGGAGGGAGATGAGGAGGACGACAGAAGACGAGGAAATGAGGCAGATAGTGAGAAGGGGTGGGGCGGATTGTAGTGGCGGGAATTGCGACGGGCAGGTTCCCTGTCCCGAAGCCGACGCTTGAGCCAGTGTTTCTGAGTCTTGCCGTGGGTCTTGCGTGGTTGACGGGTGCCGGCTCGCATGACCCTGCTGGGATATTTTGTCCGCTGGCACCTTCGGCGTTATAAGAAAATCGCGTTCTCTGGCTAATTTCACATGGGGCATTCCAGTGTCTCGGTGCGAAGTGTCCCCGTTGGAAGGGAATGTCGACGGACGGCGGCACGGCAGGGAGGGAGACGACGCCCCCGCCCCGTGCCTTGCCGAAATAAAGGCTCCCGATCCCGCGTACTGGCTACTGGATGGTGGAGATCCGAGGCCCGCACCCGGACAAGACGAGGAGGTGGGACGAGGGAGGCAGGAGTGGAAGCAAGGGGGGGAGGGATGAGGGAGGCAAGATGGAGGGAGGAGGGAGAGGGAGGAGGGATGGTGGAAGCAGGGAGGGCGGGAGGGAGGGAGGGAAGAGGCTGGTGCCGTCGGGGGCAGGGGAGGGAGGATGGGGGAGGGTCGAAAGAGGGAGGCAGGAGGGAGGCAGGAGGGAGGGAGGAAGGGATGCAGCGGGAGCGATGAGGGAAGATGGAAGATCGCCCAAGGACTAGCCCAGTTCGGCTCAGTCGGGACAGCGCTCCTGCCAGAGTGGGCTTGAGTTGTGTTGCCCACTTCGCCTGATACGATTCAGGGACGCGCCCCCAGGTTCGTATTGGGCGCTCCCCTCGCTGGCAGGTCTCCCGGCGATTGCAACACGCTGTCGTCATTGTCATCGCAGCGCGTTTGGCGGACTTCATCTGGGATGCATCTGGCGCAACACCATCGCTTGTTTATTGAAGGTCTGCCTACGCGTCCACAGGACGTATGTCCCACTGACTCGCTGACTGCTATGTTTTGATACATTTCTTCTCCCCCTTCCGTCTTTCTCCCATAGTCATCCCGTATCTTCCCGCATCCTGCAGGCGCGCTCCATCTCCTGCTCTTTTCCGTTTTCCTCCGTTATTCAAGTGGCTTGCGCCAGTCCACCGACCATTGGAGTCCCTAGGTCGGAAAACGAAGTCCGTGGGTGAGGCCGTTTGCCTCTTGGGAACCGTTTGAGGGGCCTCTTTGGGTATTTTTGGAGTGTTTGGGCGCCTCTTGGGGGTCTGTTTGGCGCCTGATGGCGGTCTCGGGGGTGCTCTTGGGGCGAAGGGCCCGAAATGGAAGTTCGAGCTCCCCCTTTTGGGCCCCTGTTGAGGGTCTTTTAAGACCATCTTGGGCACCTCTGTGGCCGTTCTGGGGCTGTCTTGGGCCGTTCGGGGGCCCTCTTAGGGGCCTCTTGGGCCATCCTGGAACGATCCTTGGGGCCTCTTGGGTCGCTTTGGACGGTGCTGGCACCACACTGATGGAGATTCTAAACTTGTATGCTTCATTTGGAATGTATACGATGTGGGCCTCTTGAGGCCCGCTTGGGGGTCCTCGTGGAACTCTCTGGAGACGTCTTGGAGGCTTCTTGGGTCGTCTTGAGGTTACCTTTGCTGGATATGTGGACTCCTTGGCGTGTTGTAGCCCGTCTCCCCGGGACAACGCACAAGGAAAAAAGGCTGGGCAAGGAGAAGGACAAGGACGGACAAAGGGCAAGCGCAAGAAGGGAACGATTCGGGGGGCGGCCGATGCCGCGGGAGGGGTGGCTCCCGCTGCCGTTGCCGCCGCTGCTGGTCGTCCACCTTGCACCCGAGCAGCCCTTGTTCTATGAGTTGGTGCCCCTCTGTTTGATGCTGTTCGGGCACGGTTTGGCTCCGATGTATATCGCGACGATTTTGGAGGCGAGGATGACTTGTTTGACAATGACGGCCCCTTTTGCCCAGCGTGATGACCCAATGGCTACGGTTGCCGATCAAGAAGCCCTTATTCAGACTAAGCAGTCTTATCTTGAGAACCTTCGTAGTTTCCCTGATGCTCTTCGAGATCAGCCAGATATTGACCAACCTCAGTCTGAGCTTACAGAGGCCCGTGAGAAGAAGAAGCCCATGCCCGCTATTCCACAGCAGCGTGCTCGTTTGTCCCAGCGAGTTCGGTGGTCTACCAGGAAGGTGGAGAAGGCTGGTGCTACCTAGGATCAGATTGAGCAGGGATTGTCCGACACTCTTGCTAGGAAGGGTTCATGGGAGGTCAAGCGGGGGCGCTTCCAGACAGAATGCGAAGTGTGGCAGAGCCGTCTCGATTCGTTCCCAGTTTTAGAGCCAGTCGTTGAGCCCGAGTCCAGCGACTTGTCAGACGTTTGTAAGACCTTCCGCATTAACCTTCCCAAGTCCTCCAGACAGATCCCTGAGGCTGCTCGTGTCTTGGGACAGATGGTTGAGTCATCTGCGGCGGTTCAGTTCAAGTCTGCTTTGGATCGTCCAGCCGCTCGGCCTGCTCGCTCGCCTGCCCGGCCGGCTTCGGCAGCAGTGCCACGACAGGCAGCAGCAGGTACGCCAGCAGTTGCAGCAACAGTGTCCATGGAAGTCGATCTTCGCCCCGCTTCTAGAGCGGGCGTCTCTCCTTCGCGAGAAGCTGCCGAGGCGCCACGCAAGAAACCGTCTCTCGCTTCCGAGCCATTGGCAGACTCTCCCCCCGACGGTGTTGATGAGGTCCCCCCTGACAGCGTTGATGATCTGGGCGACGGCGCTACCTATGGCGCAGGGGCCTCGCCGGGCCCGTCTGGACTTTAACCGTGGGAATGGGCAGCCAAACGTAGGTCGTGCTCGTCACTCCTGGCTCCTTCTATCGATCGACGTCACGAGTTGGACAAACGCTGAAGGTTATTTGGCTGTCCCCTCATGCTCCTTTGACGCAGCTGGTCTTCAGGAACTCTGTCGTGCTGCGGAGGGTCTTCAGGCTGCTACTAACGGCGCTCACCGTCTTGGTATACGCGCACACATGCATCCATCCATACTAACGTCCGAGGGTGGTCTAAGCTCTGGGGCGGCATTGGTTTCCCAGTATTCCAATAGCTTCTCGGACATCCCCTTAGATTCCAGTGGTATTGCCTTCCCCCGGGCGATGTGGGTGGCGCGGATTGGTAGACATGGGTGCACCTCGGTTAAATCTCTATCTACACACTGGGGAGGGGGCAGCTGATCTCAACGCGCAGTTGCTCATGCAGGTGGCGCCCGTTGTTCGCCCCAGCGGCCCCTGCGCCGCATCTCTGCTGACTCGAACATGTCTCCAGAATGACTAGGGGCAACAGGTGTTCTAGAGCTCGCTGGCGGCATTGCGATTGCTCCGGATGGAAATAGCTATGAGAGTGGTGGTGGATTCTCTAAGATTTATTATTTTGTGGCCCACCATGTATCTCATGCTTTCATGCTGCCACTTGCGAAGTTCCGCGCCCCCCCCCCCCCCCCCCTCCTGACCTCCAAGCGCCGGCCAGCCGCTCCGCGCATCGAGGGATCCGTGGGTAAGGATACGGCATCTGTCTTTCGGAGGCCTCCTGTAAGCCTAGTCCAACGCCGCCCCGCTGGGCGCGCCCCCTGCCCGCCGCCCTGGGATTGGCCCCCGCGGACGGCAGACGAGATCGATTCAGTTCTTGGGCTCGAACGGCAGACATATGCGCGGTTAATGGCGTCTGCGGCAGAGTTGGTTGGCCCCCATCGCCTCCCCGACCTTGGTGCGCGCGCGAAGCGGGGTGAGAATCCCGCCGCCGTGCAGGTGTCCATTGCAGAGTTGTTTCCTGGAGGCGTTGCAGCTTCTTTCAAGGGCAAGCTTCGGCGGTGTCTTGCCAATCGTCTTGGGGGCCTTCAGCGCCTAGCGGAGAAGCAGTCGTGGGAGCCGTCTCAGCAGCGGCTTCGCGTCTTAGGCGCTACTGATCGCCCAAACGCAGGGCCCCCCCCCGGCGGCGGTGGCGCCGCTATGCGCGTCGTCTTCAGCATCTGGATCTAGGCTCTCTTCTCTGGCTGAAGAACTTGCTGTCTGAAATGGCAGTAGCGCTGGGGAGGGCAGCCTCTGCCCAGCGTCATCAGAGTTGGCGCTCTCGGGCTATTCGGTCTGTTCGAGAGTGCGGAGGCTTTGCTGTGCGCCGTTTCGCCAGGGGTAGCATGACTTGGAACGCATTTGATGTCATTCAGAATTCTGCTGTTGACGACCCCCCTCGCGGCACTGTTGCGCGCCACTTAGGGGCGCGAGAGCATTTCTGGCATGGAATGTTGGAGCCCGTGCTACTTGCCGGCCAGTATTCTGATCATTGTGAGGGTCTGCCCTTGCCGTCTGCGCTACCTGATGACCCTGCGCCCGTGCCTATGCCGCCCTTGGAACGCAACCGCAGGATGCGTCGCAGGTATCGGGCTCGCACGTCGGTCGGACTCACCTGGATTCGCCATCGGCATCACGTCTGGCTATCGGACGAGTCCCTGGTAACGATGTTCAAGCTTTGGTTTGCTATCCTACGTCATGGGCGTTTCCCGCCTATCCTGGCCGATGTTGTAGTTGACCTTGCCAAAGCCTGATGGGGATGAGCGCGCTGGCGCCTTGTTCACCACCTTTGTGCGCGCCTTCACAAGACACCTCGGGGACACTCGTGGCATCGCACGGGCTGAGCGCCGCGCCCGTCCGCACGTAAATGACGTGCGCAACAATTCCTACCAACAGTGTGTGTGTGTGTGGCGCATGAGTGTTCTGGCTGTGTGTGCTGCCTAACGCGGTCTGCCTTGCTGGGCCCTCCTGTTGGACATAAAGCAGGCTTTTGAGCAGGTTCGGCACCGTTTGTTCATCCAGCGTTGTCAGCAGTTTCAGTTCAACCCCACCCTCTTGAGAGCGCCGTTGGGTTTGCATCGCTCTCCGCGTATGTTCGCTGTGCGTCGAATCGTCAGGGCGTCGGTGTCTGCCGCCGTAACTATCGTTGCTGGTTGCTCCTTTGCTGGTCGGTTTATGCGCATTCTGCTCATGCCAGAGCTGGACTCCTTACTTCGTGTTTATCAAGGGTTGCACTTGGGCTTGGTAGCTGATGGCGTTCAGGTCTTGGGAGCGGGCACCGAAGCTGAGGTTGGTGATGCGCACGGGCCCACCATGAGAAAGTTGACATACTCTGCCCCCCCCCCCCCCCCCCTTTTCTGATGCACGCTTGGCAAGAAAAATCGCAGCTGGGACATCTCGCCTTGGTGGTACTGTGCGTTTCTCCTGCAGGGGCCCAGGTGTCCACTCGCCCTCGTCTTGTGCTGAAGTCTAGAATTCAGGTGGCAACGCAGAAGGCAGGAGGCCATCAACACTGTCGCCCATCAGACACCGTGGACATCTCTCCAGGGCCCAGGAGCTATTTGGTGGCTACTTTGCTGAGGATTGGTTGGCCCTTCGATGAGACCCCGACAGTCTGGCATACCGCTGTGGGAGTCAGTCTCGATATTACGTCGACTTCCCCCCGTGAGATTGTGGCCATAGTGACTCAAGCTGCCCGCGTCTGGGCTTGGCAGCAGGCGTTTGACAGGCACCCATTGTATCGCCGTCGTGATGGGCCCCCCTTCCTGCACCCCCTCGGGGCCGTGCTAAGCAAGAATGCCTCAGGGTTGGGCGATCTCCAGCACCGTGCTTTGCGTGCCTTCTTCTCAGGGGGTATACGTTTAAAGCGCCGGTGTCCTTTTTAAACCCGATCCTCCACGCCTTCTACGCGTGCGATGGCCATTCAGATTTTCGGCGCTGGTTCGGAGCCTCGAAAGTTCGCAGGTCTTGTAGGGAACAGAATAGAGATAATCCTGTTTGGACCGCAGCACCAGTCCCTGACTCACGCTGCTCCCACTATCTCGCCCCCCCCCCCCCCCCGCTTTCCTGAGCCTGCGTGGGTGTTTGCTCGTGAGGGGCACTTTTTTTCACTTCGCCTGCTTACGGCGACGGTTCAAGCATGTGTGGCCTATGTCCGCTTGCCCGATTGGCGGGTTGGGGCGTGTGTTCATTTTCTGGGCCCACGGTAAATGCTTCGGCCCATGGGGCATGCCCATGCATGATCCAGGATGTTCCTGGCGCAGAGCTTGTCGCCTTCTATTTTTACCTTTCGCATGCTTCCCCCAGCCTTGATTGAGAATATGTTACTGATGCGCAATATATGATGGACACGTGGCAAGTAGGTTTCGGGGGCACTACCCGCGGGCGGGCTGCCCACTGCTCTCTGCGGCGAGGGGCCCACCGAGTTGCTTCTGATATAGGGTATCGTTTGATTCGTTTGACCAAGACCCGCTCTCATAGAGGAGCCTCAGCTGTTGAGTATCATGAGATCGATCAGGAGTCTGATCGCCTGGCTAAGTTAGGCGCAGCCCTGCATTACAAGGGTCAGGTAATGTTGGACAGGGTCTCTCGTGCGACTGTGCTCGTCGCCCGCGTCGCTCAATGCATCGGTCATTGTGTGGCTTGGATCTTCAAGCTGCCCAAGGATGTTTGGCGAGCTGATTATGGCCCTCCTGTCTCTTCAAACCTTTCTCTGCTCCCCTCAGGTGCTCGGGGAGGGGCTCTTCATGAGCACTTTTGGGGCCCCAGCGTCGATTGATTTCGCCGCGCAAATTGCTGGCCCAGTTCAGCTTCGAAGCGAATCAGCATCTGCTACGAACCACTGGCGCCAATCCCACGGGAGGGGGGCATGCTCTGCACGGACTTTGCGACAACATCTTCCGCGACCGTTGCGGTCGGCGCACAGAAGCGCAGTGCATTTGAAGCGCAGCTACCATGGTCGCCCCTGCGCCCAGGGCCCCATTGATAGGCTCGACAAGATGTGGGATAGACGGCGTCCTCGTTCTCGTGAAGTTTTCGGTTCGGTCGTACCTATTGACCAGACCGATGTAGCGCATGCTTTCCCTCGTCCGAATCATGTTTTCACCTTTCGTGATCTGTTTCGCCCTGACTGGCTCCACGAAGCCCTATAGCTCTAACATAGCTTATCGCGGGAGGTCGGTTGAATGATGGGTGGATGGGGTGGAGGACCTGTACGTGCCGCAAGCTTATTCCCCGGTCAGTCTCCCCAGGACCTGGCATAGTCAGAATTGCGTGCTATGCTTGCGCGATGCCGGTCTCTGGATATGCCCCTCCAGCCGCGGCCCTTCCTGACCAGGGCCCCATTCCATAAGTCAGCATCTGTTGTTGTTTGAAACCTTCGCGCCACAGCCGCGCCCGGGCTTGCAAAGAGACAGAGGAATAACAGAGCTCCGCTCCCTTGTCTCTTTTGTTCGTTGCTCTTCTCCCGTGCCACCCAGGAGAGGTCCGGGGAGCAGCGGTCGGTGCCCTTTTTGAGCCCTCGTGGCCCCCGCCGCAACCGCGAGCGCCGAGGCGCGACGGTTCCGGACTCCCGTGCCGTCTGGCACGCGTTTGTGGCAGCTTGTCTCTGCTATATGATTGGGAGGGGAGGCAAAGCAGGCAGCGCGGTGGGTACTTGTACCTGGCGCTGGCAGCTCGGCTGCCACAAAGGACCAGGGTTTAAAATCGGTCCCATGAGACGGTGCCAGCAGTTGCTCTGCTTGCCTGCCGCCGGCGTCGTTGGCCTTGCTGACTGTGGCCCTCGTGGTTTCGGTCCCTTGTTTTCGGTCGGTCCTTTCGGTCGGGTCGGCTCTGTCTCTGGGTCCTGGGTCTGTCCCTCGTCCCTTTCGGCCTTTCGGGCCCTCGCCGTTCGTCGGCTTCGCAGGGGGCTGAGGCTAGACGTCAGCCCGCGTCCAAAACAAAAAACTGCTTTCAGAGGCGACGATAGGGGCGAATAGCCCAGGGGGGAGCAATGCATGTATCCAGGGGCGCTGATGACCCATGTCTTCGGCGAGGCTCCAATGCGAATGCGTGTAATGCCCGCCACTGGGCTATTCGCCCCCATCGTCGCCGCCGGCTCTCCGCCGCCGCTCTAAGTGGATTTCTGACCCCATGGGAGGGGGAAGTGGGGAGGGGGGCAGCCAGCATCTCACACGCAGGTGCATTCCTGGCAAGCGGGCGTTGACTGATTATGCATTGGCCTCGTGTTCCCCCTTTCTTTTCCTCTTCATCCCCGCTACCCTGATTTTCCTTTCACTTTTCCTCCCCATCCACCTCGTCCCCGCGGAAGCTTCGAAAAGGCCCCAACAATGTCAAAACGTGTGGGGAGCCATTCCCGTCCTCCTTGCCCACTATCCACCGCCCTCCCTCGTCCACCCCCCCTCCCTCTTCTCTTTCGTAATTTCATACTATGGATACTGCCCCTCGCTCCCCTGACTCTGTCTGGCTTCCTCCGCGAACCAATTTTTCGCACAAGACTGGGTGAGCGTGTTGCCCTGGCTTTGTTTCCAATCCGATGTACTATGTGTCAACATGGTTTGGCATCGCTCCAACGTGTGCATTGCTTTCCTCGGCGAAAACCATCGAGGAGCACCTTGGTTCATATGCAAAGAATAAACGCACGAAGCAGACAAACGCACGAGGAATGGACGTCCGAGCGATGGCAAAATTATGCTCCAGTCGCAGCGTTGGCCTCCTTTTAGGATCAGCGCTGTGCTTTCGTCGTTTAGAATGGCGCTCGCTCTGTCCCCAGCGCGGGCCACTTTTCTGGATCTAGTCTTTGTTTTCAATGTTCGTCGCCCCCCTCATTTTTCCTCCGCCTCCCCCTGGTCCTCCTGCTCCCCCTGCCTGTCCTCTCCTTTGCCTGCTGCTGCTGTTCTTCCTCGTTCTCCTCCTTCCCCATTCTCCTCCTGCTCCTCATGCTCATCCTCCTGCTCACCCGCCATAGGCTACGTCTACTCCTGCTCACCCGCCACCTCCTCCTCCACCTCATGTAAGTAGTTCCCCTTTCCGATTGCGCACAACACGATGGCGTTCGCTGTGGAGTGCCAAGATGGCTATGACACGCGCCCGCGGACAGAACAACGATCAGCGCAATGGAAAGGGATGGAAGGGAGGCATTGCATGCCAGATATGGCGCGAGCGCACCTGACTTGTCCTCCCCCTCTCTCCCGTCTCAACTCACCCCCTCCTCCACCCTCCACCCCGCCCCCCCCCTCGGCAATTGTTCGACACGATTACTACTCCCCTCTCCCCCGAGGACGTCCAGTGGGCACTGCGCCCTATCCGCACACATCTTGCACACACAGAGTTTCGACATTTGATAGTGCGCGCTATATCGCACTCGGACTGTTGTCGGTGTTTCAAAAGGTGCTCCAGCTGCAGCGTGGGCCTCATTGTTGAACCGGCGTTCTGTTCCCGTCGTTCAGAACGGCGCTTTCGCTTCAGCGCGTGCCCTTTTTTCTGGATCCGAGTCTTTCCTCATCGTTGTCTCCCGGCTCCTTTCCCCTGTTCCTCCTTCCCCTGGTCCTCCTGCTCGTCCCGCTCCCTCACTCCTGCTCATGCTGTTGCTGTTCATCCTCGTCATTATCCGTCCGCATCCTCCTCTTCCTCCTGCTCTTGCTCATGCTCTCCCTTCACCTTCTCCAATGTACATCGCGCCACTTCCTGCTTGCGCATGAAACGATGGTGTCCTTTGAGAGGTTCCAGCTGCACTACGACACCTGGCGGTGGACAGAGACAAGTCAGCGCAATGGGAAGGGATGGGCGGGAGGGGTAGGATTTCAGATATGGCGCCAGCCCGCCTAGCTTGTTTCCCTTCCCCCCCCCTCCCCTCGTTCGCCTTCTTTCCCCGCGTCCACCCTGAGGATGACGAAGGAGGCAGTGCCTCCCTCCTCCACCTTCGTCCACCCTCCTCTCCTCGTCCGCCCTCCTCCCCACCGTTGCCGCCCCGCGCTCTGGCCGCGCGCGCGTAGATGTGCACATCGGCAACGTGGCAATCGGCTGCGAGGATGCCCCCTCCCGTTTGGCCTTGAGATCGCCAGCGGCCCGCTGTCCTGAGGAGAAGTGAGGGAAGGGAGGGAGAAAAGAAGGAGGGAGAAGGAGGAGAAGCACGAGGAGGAGGAGGAGGAGGAGGAGGAGGAGGAGGCGGAGTCACCACAGGCACGCCAGCCACGTGTGAAGCTGCAACCACGAGCGTTTCCAGCTCCCTGGCAGAGTCTCACTACTTTCTGAGGCAACTGGGCTGCTGAAGCTGTAGCCTAACTGCTTGGGCAGGTCAACTGGACGATCATGCACACTCTCGCATGGCTGCGGCCTGCAGCCTGAAACAGCTGCGGGATGACAACAACGACCCTCCCCCTGCCTTGCACCTGACACCGGAAAGAATTTGCGCATGCGACGGCAGGCGCCTATGAAAACGAACTCGGTTGTCGGCAACCTGACCAGTGGCCCGGAGCGCAACACCTTGCAAGAGTTCATCTTACAAAAATTTGCTGACAGTCCTGGAGACTGAACCAGCCAGAACCGGGCTCCTGGGCACCCGGGCACCTGGGCCAGCCACCGAAATCGGTGACGAACCTCAACTAACCATATGAATCCTCTGGGACCCCTACAGAGGCAAGCTCTGATTGAGGAAAAACCTGCTGGCAGTCCTGGAGACTGCACCCGCCAGAACCAGGTGGAAGCCGATCTTCGTCCAGGGGGCTTGCCCACATGGCCTGCTGCCGCTCCAGGGCTCGACCCCGCCGCCGAGGGAGGCGATTCGCTCCTACCTGGGGTTGCAGATGCGGCCTTGACAGCCTCGACCTTGACAGCCCAGAAAATAATTCGTTGCCGGGAAGAGAATACCTGGGCGAGTTGCCCGGCTAAATCCCGAGCTTGTCCAATCATGACGACGCCGTCTCGAAATCGCGGATATTGTCGTTAAAATAGGCTGGCTAAACGGTGCACTGCCCAGCCTTCCATTCGGGTGACCAGGGCAAGGTCGAGCATCCCCCCGCTGTAGGGGAACCCCATCCCAGACCTTCTGGTCACGCGCCACAGACTATTTGGAAACCTAGGAGACCGGACAAACTGGCTGCTCACGAGTAAACCGAAAGACAGTTTTACTATAGATGTCAAAGGTTCGGCGAAGCAGACGGAAACACCTTCCACCAGGTCGTCTCAATATGACATAACAATTCCAGAACATTGCATTTTCATGCAAGCGGTGGCCATGGCGCCTTTCTACAGCGTCTTTGGTGCCCCTTACGAGGTGGGGGATCTCACAAGGTTTGCTTTGACGAGTGCCCCGGAGCCAATGTGCTGGACCGCAGAATGCATAAAGAGGTTGAGCATGCATGTTGCGAAAAGTCACCAGCCCAGGATGTATATGGTGCTTTGCAAGATTTCACAAGTATAGTTCGAAACCCGTGCCCGTGCGCAAACAACGAAGGACTTTGTTGTTTTTGCCCACCAGACGCCCATCCCAGTGCTCAATGTCGCGGGCCCGTTTGGCCTTCAGATCGCCCGCGGGCCGCTGTCCTGAGGAGAAGTAGAGCGAGGGAAGGGGTGGTGGACAGGAGAGGGAGAAGGAATGAGGAGAAGGAGAAGGAGGAGGAGGAGCCACCACGGGAGGAGGAGGAGGAGGAGGAGGAGGAGGAGGAGGAGGAGGAGGAGGAGGAGGAGGAGGAGGAGGAGTCTCCACGGGCACGCTGGCCACGCGTGAAGCTGCAACCACGTGCGTTTCCGGCTCGCCCGTCTCCTTCACGCAGCATTTCGGGCTCTCGGCGCCGCTCCCTGGGCCACCCCCTGGGGCCCTCGGGCAGGCTGCGGCCCGCCCGCCCTGGCGATGCGGGCTGCCGCGGCGCCGCCCCCGCCCGCCGCGGCCGCCCCGCCGCGCGTGGCCGTGCGGAGGCCGCAGCGCCCCGCGGCGCCGGCGACGGCCGCGGGCGGCCCGCCGCCCGCTGGCGGCGCGCGCGGCCGTCGCGCGGCGACGGCCGCGCTCGCGACGGCAGGCGCGGCCGCGGCCGCGCGGCGCGCGGGGCGCCGCGGGCGCTGGCGGTGCGCGCGCGGGGCGCGCGCGGGCGACGCGCGGGGGGGCGGCGCGCGCGCTGTGGCACGTGGGCCGCTCGGGCGCCGAGGAGCCCCCGCCGGGCGGCGGCGGCCGCGGGCGGCGGCGGCGCGGACGACGGCGCGGACGGCGGCGGCGGCGGCGGCCGCGACGACGACGACGACGACGACGACGACGACGACGACGACGACGACGACGACGACGACGACGACAACGACAACGACAACTTCGACGACGCAGGCGGCGGCAACGACAGCGGCAGCGGCGTCGCTGAGGAGCTGGAGCGCGGTGTGGAGGAGGCCGCTGCGGCGTGGCGGCGGAGCGTGTGCGAGGCTGTAGGCTGGCTGCGCGCAGAAGGGCGTGTTGGGGCGAGGGGGTTTCGGGTATAGCCAGGGGCCCAGGTAAGGGGACCCGGTTAATTAGTGGCAGGGCCCTGGAGCCCCTAACTGGGCCAGAATCACTAAACCAGGTCTGCCGTAGTTGGCGTTTTCTCGGATGACGGCAGTTCTGGTTCGTGGAACGGGGCGGGGGGGCGTCCCCCAGTACACATCACTAAACCAGGTCCTGCTAAACCCAGTTCTGCCAACGCCCGAGGGTTGACACAACGATAACTTGGCCTTCGCGGGGCCCCCTCGCGTCACGACGGCTGGGCGCAGGTCGGAAAATTGATGCGTCTGGACCACGGGAGGGGTCTGGGGACCGATTGTGAGCTTCCTTTGTCTCAATTCGCCCTGCTCCGACTACTGAAGAAGGCAGGTGGCTTTGGAAAGGCCTATCTGCCCTCTGAGGAGACCTTCTTTCTTGACATCCTGGAGTCGTGAAAACTCGCGAGGGCGGGTTTTTGGCACTTTGGGATTTTCGGGTGCCCTTACTGGGTCGCTGGACCGCCTAACGCCTTTGGACAAGACACCGGTCTCCCAGATGAGGTCCAGACTGCTAGGGAGCCTCGTTGTGAACAAAATCACGTCGTCGGACGTCGGGGTTAGAAGGCCTCCGATTCTCTCTGCGAAGCCCTTGCCTTCTAAGAAGGCCGCCCGCTCGCCCCTCCCATGTGCGCGCCGCCAAGCAGGGGAGGGGCAGAAATTGCCGAGCCCGCGCTTCGCGATCGCATTCGTGCCCGAGCGGTGGTCGGCGAGGCTGCCCGAGGTCGTGCGGTCCCTGATGGCGCTGACGGGCTGGCCGAAGTTTGCCCCGTTCCTGGGCGTGCTCAGCGAGTCTTCCTCGCTGACGCTCTGCGCTTCGCTAGCGCCCGCGGCCGCCGACGATACCCCCCGGGACTCCTTGGCGCCAAGACTGCCCAGTCCGCGCGTCTTCTTCTGGGGAGGGAAGGAGCTCCAGCATGTCAGCGAGTTGGCGTTGAACCCGGAGCTCCACACGAAGACTGGGGCTGCCGGCATGTCCCTCAACGGCACGGCCCTTGCCGCTCACGCATACCTCCAGCGAGAGCCGCACGAGGTCGGGAGTTTTCTGCTTTTCGGGGACTTCGCAGCGGGCGCCGGCGTGATCAATCGCTGCCTGTCCATCCTTGACGTGTCGTACCCCAAGGCGACAAAGGCGGGGGTCGTCGCACCGCGGGCAGGGTCCGATCCGCCATTGGCGGTGGGCTTCAGAGGGAGAGTGACCCAGAATCGGGGAGTAAAAGCTTGCATAAGCATAAACTGTCGGAGGTCCGCACGGGTTTCTTGAACGGCGTTGGGCCCCCCCGCCCTGGCGCGCAGAACGCGCCAAGGGCGCCGCCAGGGGCGCCGCCAGGGTCGCCGCCAGGGGGCTCCAGCGCCGATCCGCGAACTCCGCGCGGACCTCCGAAAGCGCATGCTCAAAGCCATTGCTTCACTCCCCGGCAGAAGGGCGGAGGCCTGCTGGGCCTGGCGCTCCCGGGCGCCATCCACACCTCCCTCGGGCTGTGCGGGTGTCGGCCCGTCGGCGTGCCCCTGGAGGTGCACGACGCCGACCTGCAGCAGCGCGTCGGCGCCTTCATCCGCACCGTGGGGTCGGCCGAGTGGGACGGCGACAGCTGGGGCGTGCCCGGCGTGGAGGAGTCCAGCGAGACCCGAGGGCGAAGAAGCCACCTGAGCATCAGCTTTCGGAGCCCGGCGCGGAGCTCTCGGGTCGGCGCCTGCATGGGACCCCCCCCTCCGCGGCGCCTCCCGCGCCGTGCCTGGCGCGCTCCAGCGCCGACCCGAGAAGTCCGCGCGGAGCTGCGAGGGTCGTGCTTCTGCTCGCCTCTTCTTCTTCCCAGAGACGCCCACCCCGCCGCGCCGCCGGAGCCAGCCGGCGGCGCCGGCGCTGCGGGAGGCCGCGGCGCGGGCGGGCTTCGCGGGCGACGCCGACCTCTGGGTCGGCGTGCCGCGGAAGCTGCGCGTCGAGGAGCGGAGCTTCAAGAGCGCCCCTGGCGCGGGCGAGTGGGCGCTGTACCCTTGGGCCGTGACGTCCTCGGAGGGGTCCGTGGTTTTGCAGGGGGAGGGGCCGCGGGCCGACGGCATCGGCAAGAAGGGGGTCCGGAAGGTCCAGGGCTTCGTCACCCAGGCGGACCCGCGGGCGATCGAGTCCCTGGACCGCAGCTACAAGCCGGGAGTTGCCGGAGGGGTCCCCGGGCGCCCCAGGCTTTCCGAGGAGGCCCGGGCAGCCTCTGGAGCACCCCTCGCGAGGCCTCGGGAGCCCCCAGAGGGCGCCAGCAGGGGGCGGAGAGCTCGGAACCCCTGGGGGCCGGGGACGCCGTTGGCAACGCCCAGACGAGCTGGAGCGCCTGGTGAAGGCCGGCGAGGGCGCC